GCCCACACCAATCACGCCCAGTGCCTCCGACACTGCTGTTTCGGATCTCACAGCTCCGTGTGACAATCCAGGATTTCACAACTCCGTGCTACTTTTCCCTCGTCTTCGACGTATCCCGTGATCTAGTGCTTTGATCACAAAGCCCGCACTAATCACGTCCAGTGTTCTCCAACACTGTTGATTCACTTGTTTGTAGAAAAACAAGTTTCACTGACTTTCCAACTTTGAGACTTCTTGAATGGATCTTCAATATGCAGCAAGTCTCTCAATGATGAAGAATTAAACACTCTTGATTATTTTCTCTTTGAGCTCTGAGTGTTTTTCTCACTTGAATATTTTCTCACTTGTAAGCTTTTTCAAGCAGATTGGATTCGTATGATCTCACGTTTTTGGCTCGTTAGAAGTATTGGAAGTGCTTTGATCTGCTTCATTCTTCATCCTTTTATAGCAGGTTTTGAGAAGTTGTCCGTTGGAAAAAGACAATCTCAAATTTGAATTGTAGATCTCAAATTTGAATTCCAAATCTCAGATTTGAATTCTTGAAGCCTTTTGCAGAAGATCTGTAGCTTTCTCAGAAGATCATATTAAAAATAATATCTCTGATGTTTTAGCCGTTTCTTAGCTCTTGGTCCATGTGAAGAGACTTAAAATATTTCTGATGCAGATCTTGTCTTCACGTGAAGGCTTCTTAAAATAATTCTGGTGTAGATCAAGCCTTCTGGGACTTTCATATTCTGTGTATTTTATTCTCTCTGTATGGCTACTGATGCAGTGTTTTGTATTTCATTCTCTCTGTATGGTTACTGATGCAGTGTTTCGGCCAATGAGATCTCTTGATCTTGTATATTTTATTCTCTCTGTATGGCTACTGATGCAGTGTTTTGTATTTTATTCTCTCTGTATGGCTACTGATGCAGTATTTTGGCCAATGAGATCTCTTGATCTGGGTCTCATATTGATGGTGACAAATTCAATCCTTGATTGAAACTTCATCTCCAACTTCAGCTCCGCTCTTAATATATATAGTTTTCTCATATTGATGGTGAGAAATTCAATCCTCTTCATCTCCAACTTCAGCTCTAAATATATATATAGTTTCGGCCAATGAGATCTCTTGATCTGGGCTGGGTCTCATATTGATGGTGACAAATTCAATCCTTGATTGAAACTTCATCGCTCTTAATATATATAGATCCTTGATTGAAACTTCATCGCTCTTAATATATATAGTGGTGAGAAATTCAATCCTCTTCATCTCCAACTTCAGCTCTAAATATATATAGTTTTTGAAATTTCAGGTCTTACTTCAGCTCCAAGTTCTATTATTTAATTGATTTCGAAACCACTTTTGAAACTTCAGCTCCTACTTCTCTTGAATTGATTTCGAAACCTCTTTTGAAACCTCAGCTCCTACGTCCATCTCCATTTGCCTTATACAATTGTAGGGAGTGAGTTTTGAACCTAAAACCTTGCGGTTTGTACATCAAGCTTTCATCCATCTTGCCTGTACGGATTATTGGTCTTTATAGCATTCTCCTTGATGTACTTCTTTCTTTCCATGGATGCTTGATCTTCAAGATAACTTCATGAAATTTCGTTTGCTTCTCGTTTCTTCGTATGAGATTCATCAGTATGACTTCTTCTTTGAGTTGGGCGTGTGGGCTTATTTTAGTATACATATCATATGCATACATCTTCTTCTTCATATTTTTCCCTTTCTTCGTATTTGTTAATTTTCCTTTCATGGTCTATGACACGCCTAGACTTAACAAATAAAATTGGGGTTTCTAAAATACAATTTGGCATATCAAAATCTATTACAATATATTCCTAACAGCTTCTCTCGGGGTCGTGCGATACGTCCACAGTATAAAACGGAGCTCGTTTGCCCAACTGTGTCCGGACGCATAAAGCTTCTTCTTCAAGCCGTCAAGTATGGTGCGATTGGCATTTCCAACTTGACCATTTCCCTGAGGGTAGGCCATGGACGAACGCAGCGACTTCGTCTGTATTGTTGCAAGAAAGTTTTGGAAATATTGGCCTTCAAATTGTTTGCCATTATCAGTAATCAAATGGACTGGCACCCCAAACCGGGAGACCACGCTCCTCCAAAGGAAATGAGCACATTGTTGAGATGTTATGGTTGATAACGGTTCGGCCACAATCCATTTAGAGAAATAATCGATAGCAACAATTATGAACCGTCGTCTACTGGACAACTGAGGGAAAGGCCCAATTATGTCTACTCCCCAACGAGCGAACGGGACAGCGGTACTGACCGGCTAGTTAAACGTTGTTGGTCGTCCGGGCATCTTCGCAAACAATTGACATGCTTCGCACTCCTTTGCAAGCTTTTCACAATTGATCTGAATGGAAGGCCAATAATAACCGATCATCATAATCCTTCGAGCGAGCGACCGACCTCCTTGATGAGAAGAACACAGACCCGAATGTAAATCTGTCATCACTATCTGCACTCAAAGTCCGTAAGGCATCTCATCAACGGACCCCCATAAAAGCGCCAGTACAGGCGGTCTTCCACGACCTAAAATCTTTGTGCACAGAGCTTAACTTTGCGAGGTATACCAGCATCCTTCGGTAAACGGTCATCTTGGAGGTAGGTTATGATGTCCGATATCTAGTCTTCTTGTCCATCCTGAATTGGGGCAACTTCTAATCGGTCGATGCTCGGGGCTGGGAGTACCAAAACTCAAGCAATTTTGGAGATGTGGTCAGGGGCTTCTTGTACGAGTTTCGAGAGGATATCAGTGGCAGCATTGTCTAAACGGGGGACGTGCTTGACTGCATAAGCCGTAAAGACGGCCAACTTCTCTAACGCCAAGTTTCTATAGCTATATAAACGATCGTCATTGATCTCATAGTCCCCCAGTACTTTCCCTACAACTAATGAGGAATCGGTCTGGACCTGAACGTAGTCGGCACCGAGATCTTTGGCATGTTGTAGGCCTGCAACGAATGCCTCGTACTCAGCTTCGTTGTTGGTTGGCGAAAACTGATATATGAGAGCGTAATAAACCTTTGAAGCCTTCCGGGCTGGTGATCACGACTCCGCCTCCTGAGCCACGCTTACTGCTAGACCCATCGGTGGCCACCCCCCACCAAGAGGCGTCCGAATCAGACATGACCGACGTCTCGGTGTCTCTCGCCGTGCATTCCACAACAAAGTCCGCTAAAGCTTGACCCTTGATTACCGGTCGAGGTATATACTCGATCGCGAACTTAATCAATCGCCCCGACGACGTAGTCATGCGGAGAATGGCATTGATCGGTTGGTCCGTGAGCACTCGGATGGTTCTTCCTTGAAAATATGGTGTAAGCTTTTTAGCCGCTGTATAGAGGGCGAAAACGACTTTCTCCAATTTAGAATACCAGAGCTCGGGCCATTGGAGTATAATATACTGGTCGCTAAATGCCTTCGGTGTCCGTTCGGCATAACACCGCGCTAACCACTCGATCCGTGATAGCTAAATATATCTCAAGATCTTCTCCAGACTCAGGTTTAGAGAGAACAATGGGAGACATTAGGTATTCCTTGAGATCGTCGAAAGCCGCTCGGCATTCATCGTCCCATGTGAAACCACTAACTTTTCTTAAAGTTTTGAAAAACGGTAGCGCACGCTCTGCTAACTTCGATAAGAACCTGCTCAAGGCTGCGAGTCGCCTGGTCAGTTGTTTTACCTCTCAGACCGTGGTCAGGGCCTGCATGTCGAGGATAACTTTGACTTTGAAGGGATTAGGCTCGATCCCTCGTTTTGTCATCATAAACCCTAGGAATTTCTCGGTCTCTACAGCGAACGTGCATTTGCTCGGGTTTAACCACAATCGGTATGCCCGCATGATTTGGAAACACTCTCGCAGATGTTGACAGTGCTGTGATCGGTCCTGACTCTTATCAAGAATATCATCGACATATGCTTCCATTGTGTTTCCAAGTAGTGGGTCGAATAAACGATTGATCATGCGTTGGTACGTCGCTCCAGCATTGCACAGCCCGAAAGGCATGACTCTGTAGCAATATAGGCCATCAGGCGTGACAAAAGATGTTTTACTTTCGTCTTCTTCAGCCATCATGATCTGATGGTAACCCTTGAACGCGTCCATGAAGCTTATTAGGTCGGCCCCAGCCGTCTAGTCTACCAATTGGTGAATGCTCGGCAACGGGTATGGATTTAAGGGGCAGGCTCTATTTAAATCAGTGTAATCTATACACATACGCCATACCGGAGGCTTAGAGACGAGCACCACATTTGCAACCCAATCGGGGAATACCACAGGCCGAACATGGCCGATCGCTGCTAACGTCTTGACTTTTTTTTTTACAAATTCGTGCCGGTCGGTTGACAAGTGACGAGTCTTCTATATGACCGGTTTAGCCGTCAGGTTGACTGCCAAATGATGGCATATGATTGATCAATCTATCCCGGGCTTGTCTTCGGGTCCCCACACGAATATATTAGAAAACTCGCGAAGGACTGATAATATAGTGCTCTTCAACCCACTGGATAAAGATTTACCAATCTTGATGGTTCGATCCGGACGGTCTTCATGCAAAGGGAATTCCTCCACTTCTTCAAACGGCTCGGGTTGCTCCTTTCTAATCTCACCGTTCTGTTTTGATATTGTGTTCAGCCGAGAGCTGCTAGCTTCTTTCCTGTTCACGGCTTGAAGATAGCACTTCCGTGCTGAATGGACGTTCCCCCTGAGGACACCAACCCCCTCTGTGGTCGGGAACTTCATGCATAGGTGGGGCATCAAAATTATCCCTCCCACCATAGCGATAGCCAGTCTGCTTAATATAGCATTGTGAACACATCGTAAGTTCACAACCACAAATTCCATCAATACCCGCACCCCGCTCGTGGCGGGGTGCCCAACTCTACAGGTAACATTATTTTCCCCTTAGGATGAATCATATCGCCTGTGAAACCGGACAGTGGTGTACCGATAGGCGTCAATTCAATCGGGTCAAGCTTCAACTTCTAGAAGACCTCCAAGTAAAGCATATTCACACTGCTTCCAGTGTCAACCATGACACGCTGAACGTTCGTCCCCATTATATCGATAGTGACGACAAGCGCTTTAGCGCCCTGATCTGAATCGATCGGGAGATCTTCAGGCGTCAATGTGATCAGTTCAACTTTCTGTCTGGACCCACCAAAGATAACATGGATAACCTGTTTGGAAGCAGAGGCCAGGGGGTCGTCAGGACCCTTGTCTCTCTTTCCTTGATCAGACCGCTTAAAACCTATCTTCCATGATGATTTCTTGCTTTCTTCTACCTTCGCCGCAAACTTGGTCAACTTCCTGGAATGAAGCAATTCTTATATGAGTTGTTTCAAGTATGTGCATTCTTCCGTCTCATGCCCTTTACATCGATGATACACGCAATATTTGTTCTTTTCCCGACCATCTTTGAATGGTTCGGGGAGTTCAATCATATTACATGATTGCGCATAGCGCAAAACGTCCACCGCGGGCCGGTTTAAAGGAGTGAAATCCGTTGTTTATCCCCGCCCTTTGCCCTGAACGTCTTCTTTGCCTTCCATCCGGTTGGCTAGTCGGTTTCCTGCTCGTTCCGGTCTCTTGAGACCGCTTCGCTGCATTAGCTTCTCCGGCATTAGCATAATCCGTTACTCTTTGGATGGCATCCTCACCCGTGATCGGGGGGTGCAAAATAAAATCTTGACATAACACCCCAGCTCGAAGGGAGGAATGCAACATGTTGATCGCGGTGAGGTCATCCATAGGGTCGACCTCACCGATCGGTGCCTTCCATTTAACAAGGAAATCTGATAAAGATTCTCCCTCCAATTGTTTAGCCTTTTCTAAATACATGAAATGTTTTCTGACCGTTTTGGACGTCACAAACTTTCGGACGAACTTAGTAGCCAAATCGGCAAAACAAGAGATCGAACCCGGCTTTAATGCCTTAAACCACTCAGCCGCTCGGCCACTCAAAGTGGAATAAAAGGCCCGACACATGACGACGTCGGTAACTCCCATCATAAGCATATTGCTATAGTACAAATTGACATGCATTTCAGGGTCGGTTCGTCCGTCATAATCCTTACTGCCTGGAACCCGAAGATCATGAGGGTAGGGCTGATTAATGATCTCTTGAGTGAATGGTGTTTTGAGGAGAGGAGAAGTAGTTGCAGAAGACCGGGAGCCGTGCTCTCTTTTCCACGTTCGGAATTCGTCGCGAACCTGCTCAAGGAGACCGTTGGCTTCCTCAGTTAGCTTGGGCGGAACAACAGTTTTGGGCTCTTAACGCCTTTGAGATCGGGAAGAACCGACTTCAGTTGAGTCCCCATGGCGACTTCCTACCGATGCTTCGACCTGTACCCTACCATCCCCCTGCTGAAGGGGTCGACGCTGCGTAGTAGGGCCGAGCCCTACAAAAGCACTAATTCGCGGTCCAGCGTCATTTTTGGCTGGGGCACCTCCCTCCGCACTCAAACGTGAACGGGTAGACTGCCTTTCTGATTGTGCCCGCCGCAATTCCGGTTGAGGGGCTTCCGGAGGCATCTCCAAGGGCACTTCAACTGGCTGTGGTACATACGGAGGATGTGGAAATATACCTGACACTGGTGGGAAGGGGTACGCTGGAGGATAGAATCGCTGAGGGCCCTGCCAATATTGGAACATGGGATCAAACATTCCGGCGTTGTAGACGGGTTGTTGGAACGACATTTGTCTAGGTATTCCGGGATAAACCGGTGCTTACTGAACGAAATTAACTTGATTGGGGGTCGGTGCTCTCCCCGGCAACTGGTTGAGATCAACTCGTGAATTAAGGTGTGAACGGAGGTCTGAAGAGGCGCTCTCCTCAGGCTCCCAATTGCCCATAAACGGGAACATGATCGAGAGGAACGAAAGTTAATGCGTCAAGCGGCTCTTCGCTTCGATCCCCACAGACGGCGCCAAAATGATAGTGTAAATAAAGTATTAGGTATTCTACTGCTAGAGTACGTGCTCTTGGAGGTCGGGATGAAGGGATAACGGGTCGATAAGATTACTCTCTCTCTCCCCCCAGTCTCCAAAAGCCCCCCTTACCAGCAATAAATGCGGGTATTTATATAGACAAGGAGGCTTCTTTCGAGCCCCGGGCATGCTAGACACGTGGCCTTCATGCTACTAAAAAGGCGCTCTAACCGAGGAAAACACTACACGTGTCACTCTACTTCGAAGGAAAGCCTACACATACCCCAAGCGCGACAATGCTACACGTGCCTGTGGTCGGGGTGAACCGCGTGCTCCGAGACAACCGACACTAACCGCTCGGTACCGATCGGGTCTTGTATCTGATGCGTAGGCGAGCCAGGACCGACCGCTAAGCTTGGTACTCGGATCGAGGGACAACTAGATATATGACTACCATTGGGCTTCTATTTGAAAGAAACCAAGATGCCACATTAGTGGAATATTCGGATGCTGGTTATCTATATGATCCACATATACAATTCTAGATCCCATACTGGATATGTATTCCTTCGGGGAGGTTTTGCTATTTCATGAAAATATGTTAAACAAACACTAGTAGCTACCTCATCCAATCATTCAAAAATTATTGCTTTATACGAAACCTCAAATGAATGTGTATGGTTGAGGTCATTAGTACATAATATTAATAATTCGTGTGGAATAAAGAGTATTAATGATACCCCCATTGTCCTATATGAGGACAATGCAATATGCACAAATGAGTAGTGAGTACAATCTTACCAAGCATATTGCGCCTAAATTCTTCTACCCACATGAGCTCCAGAAGAGTGGTGAAGTACATGTTAAAAAGATTCAATCACGTGACAATTTAGTACATTTGTTAACTAAGTCCTTACCTACCTTTACTTTTGAAAAGTATGTGCGTAAAATTGATATGCGTAGGTTAGGAAGACTGTTGTCTTCAGGGAAGCAACAACATCTTAAATGCAGAAGAATTATTGGTCCCAAAAATTAAGATATTTTCTTTTGATCCCGAAGATCAAAATATTTTCTTACATTCTATGTTCAATCCCTGAAGGTTTACGGTTGTACTCTTGTTCTCTTAAATGATCTTTTTACCACAGATTTTTATCAATGTAAGGTTTTAATGAGGCAACCAAGGCGACACATACATTACCCATATATCGTGTAGTCTTTTCTCGTCTATGTTTTTTCCACAGGGTTTTTCTAGCGATTTTTTAACGACCCATGAATATAGTTAAATAATGTCCAAGAGAGAGTGTTACAAAACCTTTTAAAGTGGACATTATTATTGTTTTAATACTATTCATTAGCCATTATTGTATTGCTTTGTAATTGCCATTTCATTTGTATTATATAAACATGGTTCTCCATAATAAGATGACTAATGTTTTTGAGTCTTCATCTTGTCTATACTTTTCATTGATTGATTTACTTTATACTCATTATATTGTATTATTCATGCACTATACCAACTAGGAGCTAAACGGGCTAACAGAAAATCTCACTTTACAACAAGTGTATTATACATAAATAAAATATCAATCAATTTTCACCAAATAATAACCAATAAAAGTATTTTTTGAAACTATTGAAACAACTAAAATATTAATCAATTTTCACCAAATGATATAACCAAATGGTGACTTTCTTTAATGGTTTGGGCCATTTTATGGGCTTGTATGGAATGCGGACTATTGGAGATGTTTATTAGACTTTCTTCAAAGATCCAAGCACAATAAGGCCCAAACTTACCCTTCTGGCAAATTATGCTGTGGACAAGGTGGACTCATGTCCAAAACGCACGTATGGAATAATGGTGCCGTTAGTGTCACCGTTTCCTCAACTAATGATTTTTATTTTATTTATTTTTATGTGTGTGAATATATAGTTCAAAAATTGTGAATATAAATTAAAAAATTGTGTTATACTATTGAATATAACGTTCTGTAATTGTGAATATAGAGTTGTGTAATTGTGAATATAGAGTTATGAAATTGTGAATATAGAGTTCTGCAATTGTGAATATAGAGTTCCGTAATTGTGTATATTGAGTTATGTAATTTTGTATATTGACATCTAAAATTGTGGATATTTCGATCTAAAATTGTGAATATAGAGTTAAAATATTATAAATATAAAGGAACAAATTCTGAAGAAAAAGTTAACAGCAATGGAGGAAGCAAATTTGTTTTTTCCTTAATTCAGATGGCATCGTTTTGAAGCAAAACGACGCCATTTTGAATCCGAGTCCACCTTGCAAGGTGGACACTGGTCCATGGCATAACAATTGTACCCTTCTAGGCTACCTGATTCTAACCCAACTTTAATATCCGAGTCGGTTTTACCCGAATTCTTCTGCCCCGATTGTTTTAAACCCATTTTCTTAAAAATAGATCTGAAAATCAATCAGGCATTATCCAATTCTCTCCATTTCTTTAGTCATCTGATTCATCTCTCAAGTCTCAAGCCATAAGCCAGAGCTTAGGGTTTTTGTGTTTCGCTTCTTCAACTTTCATCCTGTTAGAGTGTGGCTCAAAATCCATGAAAACCAATGTCCACGTTGCACTCTTTAATCTACATGCGCACGTCCTCAATCTTCATGCCACGTCCTCAATTTTCATGCGCTTATTTCTCTATGTTTCTATATATAAATAGGATTTACATTTACTTTGTAATTCGCATCAATCAATTGCAATTCATTCTTTCTTTCCTTTTGCTATTCTCACGTATACATTACTCTGTGTGTGTATATATATATATATATATATATATATATATATATATATATATATATATATATATATATATATATATATATATATAGGGTGCCGATGACCCCCTTACAAAATGAGATGGTGAGATGACATCCCATCCATTTGTTAAATTGAAATAGATGGATGAGATTAATGAGGAATTTAATGCTAAATAAGTTCATTTTTTAAATAGGGGGTGTAAAAGTAATTGCATGCATGTGGTATTTTTGGTTATAAATAGATTGGAATGTTTGCCATAATCAAAGATTACAAATATTATGGAAATAAAGAGTATACAAATATACTCCACATGTATAATATTACTGCCGTTATGTTATGATATTTGATTGTAAGTAGGGTGCAGTGGTTGAAGATGGATGACAACACAGGTATGAGAGTTGTTATCGTTAATAATTCTTGAATCATTATTCGTAGGTCTGTGCTTGCGTGATAATAGGTCTGTGCGTCGAATAAGTTATTGTTTGGCTGGCTGTGCGTGCGTGATAAAAGGTATGTGCGTCAAATATGTTTACAGTAGTGGTGTTGAATTGTTTGGCTGCCTGTAATGAACTTAATAAGCTAGGGGATGAAGAAACATGTGGGATATTTATATGATGTTTTCTTAGTAAAAAGAGAAATGTTTACACAGTTGGTTAGTTGGGGGACTTGCGGATAGTGCGTTCTGTTAGATAATAATTTAGTCTAACATGAATTGTAGTAACGAGTAACCTGTCTCGTAGTAGCGGAAGCTTTAGGATCGCCCGAATATCACCAGCCATAGTCATTGGTATTGCCGAGATGGTAAACCTGCAGAATAAAGGCTAGTATTTTGTCTACCACTTCTCTCCCGAATACTCGATGGTACGTGTATACTGAACACGGGAGCTGTGGGAGGACTATTTTGCTTAGAAGCCTACATCCCATCAACGTAGGTAGATATTCAGTTAAAGCTTAACTGAATATCCTGAATTGCCTAACAGATTAAGTCACTAACTGACTTAATCTTCCACTTGCACCACAACCACCCAATAATACAATATATTATAATATATTGTATTTAGGGAAAATACTTACATTCTCCCACTTGGTGCAAGTACTGGCACAACCTTCATTAAAGAACAAAATACATGAACCACAGTAATACGTCCTCTACTAATCAAGTGAGTAATATCTACTATGATCACATGCATTTAAATTCCCTAACTTAGGTTCTTTATGAACAAACCCTACGTTTATTCTTAGTCCCTTAATGGATGTTTCTCAAAATATATTATGTGCACAACTGAAGGAAGAAACCATCCAAATTCACTGTATGATCTCCAAAATCTTAGAAGCATGCCTTAAGTATAGATCTCTTAATGTTAGCATAATGCTAACTATATTCTATGACTTGTTTATAAGTTAACATAAACACTACCTCTAACGGCTAAGAGCTTGTAGTTGATATGTCTGTCACTCCCACTCATTAAGATAGCCAAAGGATAGTCAAGTCATAGAAACATTCCAATAACTTAGACAACAACCCAAAAAAAGTCTAAGTCCATAATTTGGAATCTTAAACATACACCAACTTCCCAAATAATCTCAAGGTCCACCTCGAAATTAATTGAACATTATGAGTCTTACTTATTATGTCTTACAAAATTGTTTTGAGCCTTACAAACCAAAAATGGCCCAGGATCAATTTTGAAGAAACTAAAGACTCTATCAATCGCTAAAGAATTTATTAATTGAAAGTGCACCACAAGTTAAATGCTTTCGTTCTAATAAATTCATTAATATTGTTACAACATTTTCATAAATATGTTGTACAATCAAACGTTCAATGAAACGAACTTATGAATTATAAGAACAAAAAACTAAATTAATACTTGTGGAAACTTTTGGACTTATTGCTAGACGCACAATCCAATTTGGAATGTATGAAAACAATTAAATCCATCAGCTTTAGTGGGGTATCTTAATGATCAC